ACTGGATGAAAGAATGTGAAGAGAATAGCCAAAGAACATATATGCATAGCCCATGGACACACATACAGTGTGGTGAGGACCAAAGGGAGGGGAGGGCGAGGTCTGGGTAGAGGTTACAAAGGGGGAAAAATGGGGGACATCTGTAATAGTGTCAACAATAAAAAAAGAATATTGATTCAATAAAATAAAACCTCAGAAATTAAATTATAAAATAGCATTTTAAGATAAAAAGAGAAATTGCAGAAAAATCAAGCTGAGATCAGAGCCAATGCCATTACAAATATACTAAATCCAAAGCAGAAATAGTAAGGATCAGATTTGATGTGACTAAAAATAATATTAGCATGGAAGATAGAATTAATGTAAAAAACAAAATAATTAAAGCTATTAGATAAAGTGTAATTACTATAGAAATCAACAAAGTCAACATAAAGATAATTGATGTCCCTGAAATAGGTACTCAAATAAATGAAAAAGAGAAAGTGTTGAGAAATATAATAGAAAACATTTCTTTGAAGTGAAGGGAGAATAAATTTATAGAAAAGGGAAAACAATATACCTGTTAAAATTAATCTAAAATAATCAACTTTGAAAGTATTCAGATTTCAATTTTTGAGTTACCAAATATTGAGAGTAATTTTAGAACCCAAGGAGAAACAAGAATGAGTACTGTGAACAGAATCAGTGGTAAGAACTAGTTGCAATGTTAGTTTGTAATTAGACAATTTAAATACAACATAAAATCTTTTAATAGGAAAGAGTCTACAAGGCAATTACCTTTGCTTTTCTTTTTTAATATTAGGGAGGTGTTCCTGTGGGTTTAGCATCTAAACCCTTTCAGATTCTTTATGGACACACTGATGAGGTATTGAGTGTCGGCATCAGCACTGAGCTTGACATGGCAGTGTCAGGATCAAGGGTAAGATTCCACCTTTAAGAAATGCTAATTTTTCTATCCTATCTAATAAAAGAGAAACATGGTCATTAGAGTACGACCGCTACCCTTCCCATTGGCTAATCAGGGCAATATGCAAATTAACTGCCAGCCAAGATGGCGGCCAGCAGCCAGGCAGCTTGAAGCTAACATGAGGCTTGCTTGCTTCAGTGACAGAGGAAACCAACGTTCCCCGCATGCCGCTTTCGGCCTCTGAGCTTGCAGTTTGAAACATTGTTACAAATATAGAAGCTAAACAGAACCCCAGAAACCTGCTTTTAGCCAGCCGGGATCTCAGAGCTGGAGTTGAAACAGTGTTTAGATTATAGAACCCAAAAACCAGATACCTGCTTTCAGCAGACCAGGCCTCAGAGCTGGAGCCTAGCCTCAGACCCAGGCTGGCCAGGCACCCAAGCGGGACCCCCACCCTGATACAGGACACCCGTCAGGGCAAACCAGCCGGCCCCCACCCATGCACCAGGCTTCTATGCTATATAGTAAAAGGGTAATATGCCTCCCAGCACCGAGATCAGCGGAACTGCGAGGCCTCCTGGCACTGGGTTCAGCGTGACAGGGGGCAGCGCCCAAACCCCCTGATCGACCTGTGGCTCTGTGTGTGACAGGGGGCGGGGCCACAACCCCCTGATCGGCCCTGCTCTGTGTGTGACAGGGGAAGGCACCCCAACTCCCCTATCGGCCCTACTCTCTGACAGGGGGAGCTCCTCAACCCCCTGATGGGCCTTGCTCTGTGTGTGACAGGGGGCAGCACCCCAACCCCCTGATTGGCCCTGCTATGTGCGTGACAGGGGGTGGCGCTGCAACCTCCCCATCAGCCCTGCCTTGAGTGTGACAGGGGGCGGTGCCCCAACCCCCCAATCGGCCCTACCCTGAGCGTGACTGAGGGTGGCATTGCAGCCTCCCAATCCGCCCTGCTCTGTGCATGACGGGGTGACGCCCCGACTCCCCAATCCGCCCTGCTCTGAGCCTGACCAGGGTCTGCACATAGGGATTGGGCCTGCCCTCTGCCACCTGGGAGCAGGCCTAAGCCAGCAGGTCGTTATCTCCCGAGGGCTACCAGACTGTGAGAGGGCACAGGCCGGGCTGAGCCCCCCCGCCCCCCGAGTGCACAACTTTTTGTGCACCGGGCCTCTAGTATATCATATTTGTTTAATTCTCTTCCATGGATATGTTTTTTTAATTGATTTTAGAGAGGAAGAGGGGGGGCGGAGAGAGAGAGAGAGTCGTCGATGTGAGAGAGAAACATTGATCTGTTGCCTCCCATATACACCCCCACAGGAGATTGAACCTATTATCTGGGTATGTGCCCTGTCCAGGAATTGAACCTCACCCTTTTGGTATACAGGATGATGTTCCAAACAACTGAGCAACCTGGCCAGGGGTAGAGCAATATTTATATTTAAATTTTTTGTAGGGGAATTGATAAAAGTATAGAACTTTTTTATTATGTGTAGGACTTTGCAAAAGTAGAAAACTGCAAAAAGGACAACCTTAAAGAGACAATTTTATTTTGGGAATTTACTGGTCTTATTATTTAATAATAATAGGGCATTTTATGAAATAAAAGTCTATTTGAAATTTCAGGATTGGAATTTTTCCTCAAGTACTTAGAGTTATAATCACTTTCTCAGTTCCTTTCCCTATTTCCTTATCCAGTCCACTTTCTTTTTTCTTTTCTTTTTTCAATTTTGGTGTCTTTTTTCTTTTTGTTTTTCATTTTCTAATATTTTCTGTGTGTAGGATGGCACTGTCCTTATACATACCATTCAGAAAGGTCAGTACTTGAGGACTTTACGACCACCTTGTGAGAGTTCTCTGCTCCTGACCATTCCCAATTTGGCCATATCTTGGGAAGGACATATTGTCATCTACTCCAGCACTGAAGAAAAGACCACCCTCAAGGTATCTACCAGTTTCATGCAATAGGGCTTGTTTTTTTCCTTCCCACATTGTATATATAAAACATTTTGAGGAAGGAAAGAAAACATTTCAAAAAGAATGTGTTTTCCTTTCATCATTCAGATTGTTCATTCCTTACAATTACCTTACCCTATCACAATTTTGGCCTCATGTTTGTATTTTGTTTTAGGGATTTCTGTTGGTCTACATAATATATTATTTCAAAAATAATTTGTTTATGTAATAATTTCTTTTTGCCAAGGCAGGGTATAAATATACAAACCATGAATTTTATATGTTTACTTTCCTTTCAGTTATAAAGCTTTTAAAAAATTAAGAGAATCTATTTGTTTTGTTTTAAGAATGTAGAGGGGTTTTTTTGTTTTTTTTACAGGATGAGGTTTTAATTCTTTTGAAGGAGTAAGAGTTCTTATTTAGTATTTATTTACTTGGCAGTCTGATTTGAAATCACTTGAATAATATTGTTTACACACTTTCTCTTTAATTATAACCATGTATTTATTCCAATATTTTAAACCTAATAATCGTTCTGTTATATAGTTTTAATTAACAGTATTAAAACTCAGTTTTAAATTGAGATAAGTAGATTTTCTTTATCTAATCTTTGCAGGATAAGAATGCATTGCATCTGTTTTCTGTAAATGGAAAGTGTCTAGGGTCTCAAGTCCTGAAGGAACAAGTATCAGATTTATGCATAATTGGAGAACACATTGTCATGGGTAGTTTACAAGGGTTCCTGTCCATAAGAGATCTCCACAGGTAAATAATAAGAATTATTGAAGTGAAAATCACTCTAAGGTTTCTAATATTTTGGTTTATAATTTATTATGAACATGTCTTTTTTTTAGTAACTATGAAAAAATGGGGAAGCTATTTATTCCTGGATTAGTAAATTACAGATGTGCATTTTTTTAAATGTAAAAATTTTACCACAATTTAAAAAAAAAATTTTTAATAGCCAGGAAGTGCCAGCCCTGGATTATAGATTTAGAAAGTTGTCCAATTACAGTTTGAATTTTTGCAAACTAAAATTAGGGTTTTAAAAAATATTTTTTAAATTGTGGTAAAACTAAAGTATTTTAAAGGCTGATGTGTCTTTATGATTAAGTGTGTGTGTGGATGAAATTGGTGGAGAATCTTATTATTTAAAGCAGCGAAGGAGAAGGAAGTTTGAATAGTGGATATGTTTTAGGTTTCCTATATGCCCACGTGTTCTTTTTTTCTCTTTATAAAGAAACTTATTGTGGCTTATTTATATTCCTCAAACTGTTTTAGCCTTTCCAAAAACCTTTTTATCTAAATTATTTCCTGATCCAAGATGTTCTATCTTACTGCATTCAATCAGAATTACTTCTATAACCAACATCTCTTTCTGTTTTTGTATTTCCCTTCTCATTTTTATTTTTCTTCCGTGGTAGAGCATTCCAATAATATTGTTCCAACATTTTGTTTTACAACCTTACTTTCAGGGCATTTTAAGAAAATCCCAAGTTAGAAAAATCAATGGGCTATTTTAGCATGTTAGTGTAGAACATATTTATAACATCATAAGGTTCTTTATTCTCTAATTATAAAAGTTGTGGGTATTTTTCCTAATGGTGTATTATGTTTCATATGAAATTTTAAATATGTATTATTTTATCATACTATATTTATATGTGTTACATATTATATCTTTTAAGGTAAAGTAAATAGACCAATTTTATTGACCTTATCCCCCCACATATATTTTTTGAGCTTTTACCCTTCTTATTCCACTTTAACTTGTTAATCAGCAAGATAAACGTCATTTAATAAGAGCTCATATATATGGTTAGAAGAAAACAGATGTTGAAAATATTTCTTAAATATTTCTTTCAACAGATGTTGAAAAGATTTCTTAAATATTTTAAGTTATGCTATAAATGTGGACTCTTGTGTGAGGCACTCAGACTTTCTGAACCTAAATCCCACATCTGTAAAATTAAAATACAGAACTAGATTATCATTAAGTTAACTTCCAGGAATAAAATTCTAAGGATCTATTTATATTTCCATGTAATTATGTGTGTGTGTTTTATTTCTCTTCTAGTTTAAATCCGAGTGTCACCCCATTATCCATGAGAATGCCTATCCATTGTGTTTCTGTAACCAAAGAATACAGCCATATTCTGGTAGGATTAGAAGATGGCAAATTGATTATAGTGGGTGTTGGCAAGCCAGCTGAGGTAAAACCTAGTCAAGAATTTCATTTGCCGTAATGTGGGGGATTTCTTTGGTTCTTCTTCATTCCAACTGAATCAAAAATATCTGTTATAGCCCTAGCTGGTTTGGCTCAGTGCATAGAACGTCAGCCGGCGGACTGAAGTGTCCCAGGTTCGATTTCGGTCAAGGACACGTGCCCAGTTGTGGACTCGATTCTTAGTTGGGGGCATGCATGAGGCAGCTGATCAAATGATTCTCTGTCATTATTGATGTTCTTCTCTCTCTCTCTCTCTCTCTCTCTCCTTTTCCCTTCCTCTCTGAAATCAATTTAAATACACACACACACACAGACACACACACACACACACACACACATACACATATACTAGGGTATATAAATAAATTTTAAAAATGTGATTTTTCAAAGGGCAATAAAAAAGGGGTTAAAATTAGTAGTATTCACGAGTGTTGCTTATATTATGATATGATTGAAAGCACACATTTGGCAATTTTTATCTGTCACTCTGTATGAATAAGAAAGTTACTTTATTCTCTGTCTTTCCTTCCTTAATAATAGTTATTCTTTCTCTGGATTATTTTAAACAGATGCGTTCAGGTCAGCTTTCTCGAAAACTATGGGGATCTAGCAAGCGACTCAGCCAGATTTCATCTGGAGAAACTGAATATAATACTCAAGATTCCAACTGATTGTCAGTTCCATCTTCTCTCATGGGTAACTGGAACTCGATTTACTGCTTTGTCACTTTAACCACATCTACCAATTATCGGAAATGTTTCAGGGTTTTATCCCTGAAAATCACTTCAGGATTACCAAAATTTGGTATGGTATGTGTATAAAGATGTCTGTTGTATTATTATTCACGTTAAAAATTTCTGGTTAACATTATTCTTTTTCATTCTTGGCCTGCACTATGGTAGATTTTAGAAAATTTACTTTATTATATTTAGTGGTCCATTCTAATGATCATTAGTCCATTTGGAAAAACAAACTTCTAAAATGTTAAGAAGTTATATTTAAAATGCTTATTCTAAACAGCAATATTTAAGGTATATCTAATAAAAGTACAAATAAGACGGTTGAAAGAAATGGCTTTTAATATATTCTTTAATCATTTTCCTATTATCTGTCCACCATATTTTTTAAAAAGTCAATTTACTTGGATCTCCTGATTGGAAGTAATATTTTAAAGGTATTTGTTGCATACTTGTATTTTCAAAACTCAGTATAAATTCCAAATTTTCCTGATCAGTTGAAAATAAGTCTATTGAAACTGGTACGTTGGTTCATTCCACTACTACTAAGCACATTACTAGTAATATTTTATTATTCTTCTTAAATAATAAAGGTTGAGTAGGAATAAGAGAAACTAGAGATACAAAATGCTGATCATGATTTTGACAGTTGGATCCTTACTGTAGAAACATTTGCAGCACAATTTATATCTTCAAAGTTCAAAATTTCTTGACTTTTTCTTTACTAAGTGAATACTCCTTTTTCCTCTGATAATTAGAAGAGTTAGCAATAACCAAATATATTACGTTTCTCAGTAGGTCTTCCACATGATAGATGAATGAATGAAAAAGACATGTATAACTTAAACTAGTCATTTAGATAATAGTAATTTTTCAAGATATACATTTCTATTTCATGTGGTGTGTGACTTTTAGAATTACAATTACTTTTGTTATGCATAGCTAAATGTTACATTATGCTTTATTTAAGATTTTATAGTAAATGGTTGATAGATTTATTTTGGAATTCAAAAAGAATGTTAAACCTAGTGTTTTTATAAGGTCATCTCTTGAGTTAGATCAGAGAGCTTTTACAACTCTGAGTGTCCTTAATTTGAGATTCTATGGGTTTGGGGGCACTTATGAATGAGATTGTGCGAAAATTTTTTGTGTTAATTGTATTTTTTTCAGGAATGAATGGTTGCATGGCTCTCGTAAAGAGGTCTGTGGTCAGGAGAAAAAACAATTTCTACACTAATAGCTTCTTAAAATAAGAATATTCTTTTTCATTCCACAAATCATAGATTTCCTTATATCCAATTGTCATCTCATTTGAATCTTTAAAAAGTTTTCCCTTAGCAATTCTTCTCTTCTGGTGCCCACAGTATCTACTACCCTTTTCTTTATAACTCTGTGAGTGCGTAAAAATTTGTAAGAAGCAAAGGATTCTGTGTAGGGTAGCTTTTTGAGTAGATTTGATCTGAGTCTTGACTAATAAAAGGTTGTGTACTCGAATAATTTCTTCCTATTTTAATTCCTGTTTTATTCAGTAGAAAACAGTTCTTTTTTAGGTAAATAACACTGAAATAAATTGGTGCAGCAACTGTAAAATAGAACACGTGAATGTAAAGGTTTCCTTTTTGAGGAATTTTGGTGAAAATGTCTCAAAATAAGACAATAGAGAATTACGATTTTTTTGATACTTAGATTCTATTTTAATTTTTATCTTACATTTTTATGCGTTTTCAGGTTAGCAGAACTAATGTGATTGCTTTTTGGTATTTTAAATGCTGATCTGTAAAAAAACTTTCGAAATTAACACTTTAAAATTGTTGTTCTACTTATTTATCCAAATATTTTGGTATAAGGATGTCTTCTTTACTTTTAAGGTCTTGAAAGTGGTTTTGAAAATTACTTTAGATGCTTATAAGTTACAAAAAGTTTAATTGAGATTACCAAGGGAAAATTCCTAAATTTATGTTTTTTTACGTTGCTGCTTTTTAGATGGAGGAACTGAACAAGGAGTACTCATTTTATAGCACAAGTAGGCAGCTTTGTTCACAGTAAAATAGATATCCTATCTACACTGACAAATGTGCAGAGCAGTGGAATTATACTTTATATTACTCTGTCCAAAAAGTAAAAACCCAAAATGTAAAATTTTGAAGTAAATCTTTGAGAATACTAGCAACAGTCTGAAGGAACAGAACTTAAAGTGTATCTATTAAAATAAGCAAATATAGTAGAACCATTGGTTGAATAATATATTTCTCCTTTAAACAGTTCAGTCCAGTGAATTAAAAATCACTAGATAACACTAGCTGGTTTGGCTCAGTGGATAGAGCATCGGCCTGTGGACTGAAGGGTCCCAGGTTCAATTCTGGTCAAGGGCACATGCCCAGGTTTTGGACTCAATCCCCAGTAGGGGGCTTGCAGGAGGCGGCCAATCAATGATTCTCATCATTGATGTTTATCTCTCCCTCTGCCTTCCTCTCTGAAATCAATAAAAATATATTTTAAAAATAAAAATCACTAGATAATCACTGGAAAGACATACTTTGGGAGATTCTGGTGTATTTAGATGCTATCTGTATAAATTATTTCTATATTGTATAGTGGGAGATATTTACAATATCATTAGAATGGACTAACAGGTGGACATTTCAGTTAATAAATATATCTTAACTTGGCTGTTATGAAGTCTACAGAACTTTTCATTTGCTTTTGTTTCTTGACACTTGACAATGGTAATGATGGAAATAAAATTCTCAGCATCTATTGATGAGAGATTTATAGTAAGATGATGATTTTACTTTTAGAAAGTGAGGTTAGGTATAAAACAATACCTGTGCTCACTTAGAGAATAAAAAAGCTTTATAAGCCTTTTTCCAATTCTCCTCAATTAGTATTGTCATTTTCTTAAAATTGGAGGTGAGAAGATAAAATAATACGCCCCTTTTCAACTAGTCCCAGTTAGTATTTTGTCATTTGCTTAGTTAAAATTAGAGGAGAGAAGATAAAATAGACCGTTACGTGAAAATTAGGAAAGTATATGAAAATGAAGCTTGGCCAGTTGGTTTAAAATATTTTAAGTGTGGACCATGGCTGGTTGTTTAGTTCGTTAGAGTGTTGTCCTGATATGCCAAGGTTGTGGGTTTGATGCCTGATGAGGGCACATACAAGAATCAACCAATGAATGCATAAATAAATGGAACACCAAATTTATCTCTCTCTCTCTCGCTCTCGCTCTCGCTCTCGCTCTCTCGTCTCTAAGAAATAATTAAAAATATTGTAAGCATTTGAAGCTCAATTTTCTTGAGGTCACAGTGCTTTTTTGTAGGATACATGCTTTTCTAAGAGAGAAAATACCAATTATTCACTTATCATTAGGAAGGAACATTAGTAAAGCTTTTTTCCCCCCCTATGTAAAGCATATAAATATTCTTAAAGAGCTGTTACTAAAAATCAGTTCTATGCTTCTGCAGGAATAAGTGTGTCCTCATACTTAATTAGAATTTAGAATTGAAAGTTGAATCTTAACCTAAGATTTTTTTTTAGATACTGCTTGAGTAAGATAGGCAAAGAAAATTTTAACTTGAATGCCAGATTTTTATGTATTTGCCCTTAAGTATATTTTATATTGTTACCACTGAAGAAATCACTAATGGAAATCTTTTAATTGAATTTAAAGAGGTAAACTCCTTTTATATATTTATATTTAAAAATGAGTAGCATTGTCTATATCACCTTTCCAAGGAAAGATGTACGTTTATGGGATATATTATATAAAAATTAAATACTATCTCATGTAATAGTATGAATGGGGTGAAGGTTGATCTCTTCAAATACATCATTAAACTTGTCTTCCATAAATAAGTTCTTAAATCTGTCTTTAGGATAGAGTTTTTGACATAAGAAATGAAATAGATTCTTTTTCTTTTCTGAATCTAATCTGTTTTCTTTTATCGGCCGGACACATAGCTTGTCCTAATTACTTTTTCTCTCATCAACTGAAACTATTCATTCCAAGTAAGTGACCAGTCTTAAGCATTTTTATCACTCTCTCAATCAATACCAATTCTTGTTATTCTTTTGCCTAATTCATTTATCATATATATTCAACATTTGATTTGTTTTAAACTTGACAACGTGTGTTTTAGAGAGTTTTCCTTCATCAGAGTCCTGGTGGTACTTTTTCTGATGACATTAGGCATTGGCAGTTTATTGTTATCAGTCATCATTTCAATATGATTAAAATGTTGGCCACAACCTTCTTCTTTAATTTGAATCTAGCATTTTCTAGGCCAGTGTAAAAAGTCTCTTTTTCTTGTTAATCCTCGCCACGGATATTTTTTCCATTGATTTTCAGAGAGAGTGGAGGGGAGTGGGAAGAGAGAGAGAGAGAGACAGAGAGAGAGAGAAACATCAATTGGTTGCCTCCTGCAAGGGACTCGAACCTGCAACCTGGGAAATTATACCTGGGAACCGGACCTGGGACCCTCTGGTGCACGGGTCAATACTCTAACCACTGAGAAACACCGGTTAGGACTCTTTCTTTATTTCTCACCCAAGGATATACTTTTATTGATTTTTAGAGAGAAAAACATTGATAGGTTGCTTCCTGTGCAGGCCTTAGCTGGGGATCAAACTCACAACCTAGATATGTGCCCTGACTAGAAATAGAACCTGCAACCTTTTGGTGTACAGGATGACATTCCAATCAACTAAGCTTTTTTTTTTTTAATATGTTTGTATTGATTTTTAGAGAGGGAGTAAAAGGGATAGAGAAAAAAACATCGATTGGCTGTCTTCTGCACACCCCCTACTAGGGATCAAGCCACAACCTGGCCATGTGCCCTGACCCAGAGTCCAGCCTGTGACCTCTTGGTTCATGGGTCAACGCTCAACCACTTAGCCACACTGGCCTGATTAGGCCACTGTTTCTTAATTGAGATTGCAAATCAGACTTATTGAGGTTTTATAAATGTACAGAAATCTTGGCACTACTCTGGACTTTATGAATGACTTTACTTGATCTCGATATAAAATAATGTCTCAGGATTATATTAAATCTTAAAATACTTTATTCTATAGAAATTCATTCATTTTTATAAATCAGATCTAATATTCAAGGCTTATTTGAGAAGAGTTTTAATCATTATCCTTAAATGAAACATTTTATCTAGAATTTGCTTGGAATGGGTTCTTTGTATTGCGTGCTATAGAAACAACTAAATTTCCTTTTTAGTTGCATTATTATTATAAGCCCTCTTTATACCTTTCATATTTGAAACTTGTAACTAATAGTTGCCCTCAAAAGTATTCCTAGTGGCTGTCAGTGAATACTTGCATATTTGAATTAGGTAACATTTAAAAGTTTTAATAAAAAGCGTGAGTGACAAAATAGAATTAGACCTCTATAACCTTGAAGCTCTAGTAATCAATAGAATTTTCCTAATTAAAAAGCATTGCTAAAGTCCTTCCACATCTGATGACTTTGGCAAGTATAGCTTCTATATGGAAATAATTTTTAATTTTTCATATGTAAAGTCCTAGTATTACACTAAATAAAGCATTAACATTTAAGATATTTTGACTTGTAGTGGAAATGATTCAATTTTCTACATTAATAATATAAAGCCATGCTTGATTATGGGATTTAAGTTATTTTCTTCAATTAAAGAACCTTGTGTAAAAGTGGCTACGTTATCAAATATTTTTCTAGTACGTTATAGTAATTCTTCAAGACACATCTTGGATTATCTCACATTTGTCATATGTGGGTGATTTCTAAATACATTGCAGGATTTTGATCTATGAAACTAACGGTTTTATTGAAAAAAGAGATATAACTGTATTTACTTTTGTCTTAATGTCTATAATCTTATGAACTGAAAGTACAAAGGAATAGAACAAGTAGAAAGTCACTATTTCAATTTGTTTTCCATGGTATAGTTTTAATATGTTTCCTTGAAAACTTATTTTGCAAATATTATCATAATGATAATAACCAAAAATTTGTCACTGAAAGAATTACCCATTTCTCATTTTTCACCTTTGACTGTTAGTGAAGTTTTGTGTGTGTGTGTGTGTGTGTGTGTGTGTGTATTTTCACTTAAAATATAGCTGTCGCATTATTTTTATTTATAACTATTTTTGAGTATAGAAAGTGATTAACTATTAGTAATATTTTTCAATGTCATGTTGTAATTTGAGAATAGAAAAGGTTAGGAGTTAGGTGAAATTGGAAAATAAAATTATATTTTGATTAAAATCTAACTTTTTAAAAAAGTCTTAATCAAATTGAACCTTTTAAAATTTTATTTTGGTAATAACATATTTCAACTTAATTTGTATTAAAACTAGAGGTTTTCTGGTAGCCAGTATATTAATTATTGTTAAAATGCTATTTTTGATGTTCCTTCTCTTCGGAATATTTTGCAATATTCTATTAGCAATGTGTTTGAAGACTTAGTGGGCTCACCTACAAATTCAACAGATATTTTGCATTTTGAAGGGAAAAATTTATCTGAGATAGACATTATTTTGCTCTTCATATTGTTAAAATTATATTAATGAACACTTGAGAAACTGGTTCTGGTAAGGAAATACCAGTTTCAGACTTGACTGAAAAGAATTTCAACCTCTTAGTTTCTTATTTAGGGATTACAGAGAATTTACTATTTCTTCCTTTGGGATTTTGATTGCTTTTCTTGGATAACTTTTAAATTATTTAATTATAATAGTTTCTATGCTTTTCCCAAAATTTCTGGCATATTATAGATCTTACTGTTTAAAATCTTTTCTATTTTAGACTTTTTTTCTTATTCTGCTTTATTACTGCTTTCTGTGATTCATATATACCATAACCAAAATTTTGTGTGGCTACTGTTTGTTTTATAGTTAGCTTTACATAAGAAAAATTGTTAGTAAATGATAGGGTTGGTCTGTTCTCTTCAGAACTCCTAACAGGTATGGCTTTTCTTCCCTCATCTGTTTGCTTTTAAAGACTTGGAGGAAAATTGTTGTAGAAGTGCATCCATTAAGACAGAAAACTATTTGTCTTTCATGTCAGTTTTTTGGGACCCAGATTAAATGGAAGCATTTCAGTGTTTTCATAGACGGTGACAGTGACTTGAATATGTGTGTGTATATACATCATGCACACCGTCATTTCGGAAGAGGATAACTGAAAATCTGAAATTACATTTTTTAAAAACTTACAATTTGTGCTGCTATTTAAATATTTAATTCAAAAAGTTATATAGTTAGCATAAAAGTTCCTTCTCATTTTTTCTACTGGAATGGACCATGGAAAAGAATATTAAGCCTTATTTATATCTAATTATTGACTGTGCAAACTGTGACTCAATGAATATTTATATGCCAAAAAAAGGTTTTAAAGTTGAGAAAGTTTTAAACATAATAAAGATGTGTAAATAATTTTGATTAATAGTCTCATTATAATGAAGTTACTGTTAATTTGGTGCAATACATTCTTCCCTTCCTCATCCTTTTAAATTTAAATATATAAGATGTATGTTTTGTTTTGTTATATCAAATGCTGTTTTAAAATTTTTCAGTGTGTATATGAGCTAATGTTTTATTTGTTTCTGTATAGCATGATTGAAGATAATAATTGAAAATTTTGCACTTTTTTTTAGTCCTTTGGAAATTTGTATTCTAAAAGTTTTTAAGAATGTACATTTATTTTGTATATAGTTAGCTTTGTACGTGAAAATGGATTTGAATCAAATTAAAAGATGATGTTACTTTCTTTGATTAATTTGTAATTCTCAATTCATAGTCTGATCTTAACCTTGGTTAAGTAATTTGAGTAGGGAAGGAATTGAATACAGCCCTGACCGGTTTGGCTCCGTGGATGGAGTGTCAGCCTGTGGACTGAGGGGTCCCAAGTTCTATAGTGGTCAAGGGCATGTATCTTGGTTGTGGGCACATCCCCAGTAGGGGGTGTCCAGGAGGCAGCTGATTGATGTTTCTCTCTCATCGATGTTTCTAGCTCTCTATCCCTCTCCCTTCCTCTCTGTAAAAAAATCAATAAAATATATTTTTAAAAAAGAAATTGAATACAGTATTTGTTAAGCAGCAAATTGATCGCTGCTTCTTTCTCTTGTGAGCAGAATTTCTTCTGTAGTCCTGTGTGCATTAGATAAATGTAATGTTAAATACCAGTTTTTGTCATATGTAACAACAGATATAAAGCCTTTTTTAAAAAAATATGGTTTTTTAAAATTTTTTTTAGAGAGAAAGGAGGAAGAGGGGTGGGGGAGTTAGAAACATCAAGGAGAAACATCAAACAGCTGCCTCCTGCATGCCCCCTGCTAGGGATTGAACCAGCAACCCTGGCTTGTGCCCTGACCAGGAGTCAGCCGATGTCCTTAGTGCATGGGTCAACAATCAACCACTGAACACACCAGTTGGGCAGTATAAAGCTTTTAAAGCCACCTTTTGTTTTAAAGCCACCTCAAAAACATGGTTACTTCCCCCCGCCCCCAAGAAAATGTTCATAAGCCCGAAAATCTCCACTTGTAGGTAAACAACACTACATTCGGTTGGTACTTTATTTTACTTTTATTTTCTTTCATAATTAAAATCTTTTATTCATCAACTTTTGGTAGTCTAATTGTTGGCCTAATCTTTCTGTTTTTGATAAGGTTAATAGAACCTAATCCATAATAAGACAGAACCCAAGCTCTGTTTCAGTTTCTTGCTAGTATTTTTGTCTCTAGATCCAGAGTGACAGGACAATAGAAATGAACATTAACCATTTTCTAGCCTAGCACCATGTATGCACTGTTCTATACTTTATTTGAAGGCACTTTGCTAGAATTGGAAACTTCCTGCATTAATTCATCTGGTAAAATTGCTCAGTCACTGGACAATTCAAGCAGGTTAGTTAAAGGTTTAATTATGGCCACCTTGCTTTTGTGATGTGAAATACGTCCATAACACCATCCCAAGCATCAAATAAATGTGTTTGTTTACACAGTAATACTGGAGCTTATATATCTTTCACCATATATCATTCAGTTAATGATTAAATGATTTTTAAAAACTTTATTATGAATTTTTTTACTTATTTTTAACTTTTCTCACTACTGAACTTTTAATAATTTTGAGTTTCTTCAATTCTTATAAAACCCTTTACTTACATAGTGTTTAATGCATTTTCAAAAGTTGCATCCATTCAAAGGTGATTCAATTGTAATTTTGCAGAGATTGGAAGAGTTAAGGGAAGGGTACAGAAAAATTATGAATTTTCATTATCCACGTGCTAGTGATACAAAATTCTTTTAAAAAAATCTTTATTATTGAAAGTATTACAGATGCCCTCCTTTCCCCCTTCCTGTTGACCCCCTCCACCACACGCTTGCCCCCTCCTCATGCCTTCCCAGCACTTTTGTTTGTCCATGGGCTATGCATATAAATTGTTGGGTTAATCTCTTCCCACCCTCCCCTCCTTCCGTCTGCAATATGTCAGTCTGTTGCATGTTTCAATGTTTCTGGATCTGTTTTGTTCATCAGTTTATTTTCTAATAAAATTCTTTTTGAAAGTAGGTGCCTTCTTATATTATTCAACTTTAACTTATAGCCCAAATCTTTTTTTAAAATATATTTTTTAATTGATTTCAGAAAGGGGAGAGGAGGCGAGAGATAGAAACATCAACCATGAGAGAGAATCATTGACTGGCTGCCTGCCTTCCTCATGCCCCACACTGGGATTGAACCCGCAACCCGGGCATGTGCCCCAACCAGGATTTGAACCGTGACCTCCTGGTTCACAGGTCGACACTCAACCACTGAGCCACGCCAGCTGGGCTATAGCCCAAATCTTGTAACATCATGAATCTCAGAAGAAAAATAGTATGCCAAATCACTCACATGCATTTGTGATTAGAAAAGGTGAATATGGATTTAATTCAACCTAGAACAATACTTGCAGAATTTTATTTAAGTTTTTTTGGTTTTTTTGGTCAGAATACTTTCAGGAAATATCACAGAGGCATCTTACAGATGGGAAAACACTTGAGAATGTGCTTAGGTGAACACAGTGTCAAAGAGGTTAAAAAAAAAAACCTAAAAACAATGCAGTAAATTTTACATCTGAAAGGGAATATGCAGATCATCTAGAACTTTTATTTGGGGTATAACAGTTTGAGGAACAGTACTGGGCAAGATTTTGAGATATTGTCATATATCTCTAATAGAATATGATAGAGTGGAAAGGGCATGAACCTGGAACAAAAGATCTGGCTTCAACTTACCTTTCTGCTATCAACTAGCTCAGTGACTTTAAATAAGACACTTTATTTGGTTCCAGTTACTTCATCTGTAAAATAGCAATGTTTATGATGGCTTAGGGATCAAATGAAATAATGTTAAAGGACCAGAGGTGAGAAATACAGTGTTGTAATAAGTTTTATTTTCACTTTAATGAAAGAAGAACTATTGGCATATTGTTAGTTTGCTATGTGTGTTTAAATATTGGGCAACAGGTATGGAGTTCCATCATAAAAGTGAACGGAAAGATTAATAATAAATTATAAATTATTAAACAAGGGACTATAGATTACATGTTAAGCAACACAGATTTTAAATAAAGGGACAAATCTTATTCAAGAAACTCAGTACTGCCCTAGCTGGTTTGGCTCAGTGGATAGAGCATCAATCTGTGGACTGAAGGGTCCCGGGTTCGATTTTGGTCAAGGGCACGTGCTGGAGTTGCGGGCTCGATCCCCAGTGGAGGGTGTGCAGGAGGCAGCCGATCAATGGTTCTCTCTCTTCATTGATGTTTCGATCTCTCTCTCCCTCTCCCTTCCTCTCTGAAATCAATAAAAATATATATTTTTTAAAACTCAGTGGTTAGATTATCTCTTACAAAAGTGAAACCTATACTTCCCTGGAAATGGGGTAATCTTTTAATAAGAGGCAATTGAAGTGAATAGCTTATATCCTAAATCTAATTACCTCTGTTATAAAGTATTTAATTGGTAGGTGGTATTGATTATAACATTAGATACCTTGCCTTGTCTCCCTTTAAGGTACATCATTCCATTTAAATGTGACCATGTTGGCCATGGCCAGTTTGGTTCAGTGGATAGAGCATGTTTGGCATGCAGACCAAAGGGTCACAGGTTCAATTCCAGGCAAGGACACCTCAGATGCAGGCTCCTCCCCGGCTTGGGCCCTGGTACGGGCTCATGCAGGAGGCAACCAATGGATGTGTTTCTCTCAACATCGATATTCCTCTCTGTCTTTCTCTCTTCCGTTCTCTCTAAAAAGCAATGAAAAAATATCCTCAAGTGAGGATTAACAAAGTGACCAGGTTGTTCCTATTGCTGGTGTACATTACCACAGATTTAGTGGCTAATAACCCATAAATTTCCTCTTACAATTCTGGAGGTCAGAAATTTTTTGAAATTAGTTTCACTGGGCTAATGTCAAATGATAGGGTTAATTTCTTCTGGATGCTCTGTAAGGAAAATCTATTTCCTTATCTTTTCAGCTTCTAGTGCTGTTCCTTGGCTTATGGCCATCATCCTCAGAGCATAGCACTTTAAGCTTTGCTTAAACATACAAGGACAAAAAATCCTACTAGGATAAAAGAAATAGGAGATAAACAATACAAATTTGGAAGGTGGAAAGTTAATAGATGAAGGGTAAAGCAAATCCAAAATGGATGAATCTGGATTTATAGGGTGCCTAAGGTAATGACAGTTAACTATATTTGAATTTATCATGTCCTCCAAAAAACCTCCACACATACACATATACAAGAATAAGTACAACCTCACAGCTATCCCATTTCTCTAAGATATCTATCTACAAGACAGATAACACTACAAACTTCAAATTCTGAGAAATATAAAAAACAAATTCCAGCAGAGGTATCTAAGTTTTTATAGTAAGCCTTTGCAGGAGCAAGGAGAGTCCAGGAAAATTGAGAAAGAGTAGGTGAATGGAGAACCTAAGATTGAACTAATAATAGTAAAAAGGACTCCCAGAAAGAAAAAGCCCATCCTTCATGCAAAAATACTGAAAAAGAGTTTGGGTGGATCAGAGTACTGTGTACAGAAAAATGGATTTAGTGTGCCGCATTTGATGTGGCAATCTCAGCAGGCATTGCTGCTAGAGAAGAGTATGAAAATGCCATCACTTTGGAGACTGGATGGTGAAGGAGGAAAAAAGACTTGGGGAAATCTAGAATTTAAGATTCTACAGCCAATAGAAAAAAATATTGAAAGGCATATAATCCTACCCTCACCCTCACCTCTGCAAAACAACATACAAAAAAACTACAGTCCATTATCTATCATGAGCAAAAATAAAAATATTTAAGAGAATATCAGATCAATTCTTGCAATATGTAGAAAGGATAATGCATGATGATCAAGTATAGTTCATCTGTTAAGATTTTAATTTAAGATGGGGTTAACATTTAAAAATCAATAAATGGCCTGGCCAGCATGCTCAGCATTTGAGCATTTACCCAGGAACCAAGAAGTAACTAGTTTGATTTCTGGTCAGGGCACATGCCCAGCTAGCAGGGTTTATTCCCAGTGTGGGGTGTGCAGGAGGCAGCCAAGCAATGATTCTCTTTCATCATTGATGTTTCTACCTGGTATCTCTCTATCCCTCTCCCATATTTCAAAAAATAAATGCATGTAATTCATATTATCAGAAAGAAAACCCATATAGTCATCTTAATATATGCAGGAAAATCAATTGACAAAAAGTTATCTGTTCAAGATAAAAAATTCTTGCTCTAGCCGGTTTGACTCAGTGCAAAGTGTCGGCCTATGGACCAAAGGGTCCTGGATTCGATTCCTGTTAAGGGCTTGTGCAGGAGGCAACCAATCGATGTGTTTCTCTCACATTGATGTTTCTCTCTGTCTTTCCCTCTCTCTTCTACTCTCCCTAAAAATCAATGGAAAAATATCCTTGGGTGAGGATTAACAACAACAACAACAAAAAGATCAAACTAAAAATAGAAGGAAACTTCCTTAATGTTATACAGGGTATTTATGAAAAGCCTATAGCTAACAATATTTAATGGCGCAAGACTGAACTATTTCTTCCTAAGATCAGGAACATGGCAAGAATACCTATTCTCACTACTATTCAAATTATACTGTAGGTCCTAACTAGTGCAATAAGGCAAAATATAAAAATATACATACTGGAAAAGAAATAAAACTGTACTTTTTGGCAAATATGCATGATGCAGATGTAGAAAAGCCTAAGATACACACAGACACACACTGTTGGAACTAATATATGAGCCTAGAATAGTCACAGGATTCATGGTCGGTTTACAAAAAGAGGATAGAGTTCTACAGATTAGTAATGAAAACTTGAGATTCAAAACAATACAATTTAATTGAAAAGTATGAAATACTTAGAAGTAAATGTAATAAAACATTTGTAGGACTACAAAATATTGTTGAGAAATTTTGAAGAAAAACTGACATTTGAAGAAACTGAAAAGCTGATTCTAAATTTTATATGGAAATGCAAAGTATCCAGATTAGCCAAAACAATTTGAAAAAGAAAAACAGGGTTGGGAGGCTTACATTCATTGATTTCAAGACTTACTATAGAGCTATTGTAATCCAGACATAAGGAGAGACATCTAATTTGATGGAAAAAAATAGAAGCCCTCTAGATATATTTATACATACATAATGAACTGGTTGTCTACAAATGTGCCAAAATAATTCAATGGGGCAAGAACAGTGTTTTCAACAAATGGTGCTAGAACTTGTTATCCATGTGGGGGAAAAATGATCTCACCTTTACCTTACAAATTTGAAGTGAGTATAGCATCACCTAGTGCTTTTTCCTCGGCTAACAAATTGGCTTTTGGGGGTGATCCTATGTGATCAGATGGAGGAGGAGAAAAAAACCCAAGCTTGATCTACAAATGGGATGGCTCAGTCTGTGGGTAAAGCTACATTTGGGTAGCAGCTGAATTGAAGCCTTATTTATGGGCAGTCTTGAAACATGGTGGCAAGGGAAGACCATTTCAGTGGGCAGATCTTTAGTGGTGCAACATGTCATTCACCTAGGAAGAAAAAAGAGGAGGAGATACTATATATGGAATTATGAGCAGCGATGAAAGGTCTGGCCAACTGGTCAGAGGCATGAACTGAAAAAATACTTTAAGGTTAGGGACAAAAAGGTCTGTAACAGAGGTATATAGATGCATATGGGAGTGGGAAAGAAATATGAACATCTTTTAGTTATAAATTAACAGCCAGCAGATGTTTCTTTCACATTGATATTTCTCTGTGTCTTTCCCTCTCTCTTCCACTCTAAAAATCAATGGAAAAAACATCCTCAGGTGAAGATTTTTTAAAAAGAAAAAAAAGAATATGGTGCTATCCTTAAGGATTTACTATTCTCATTAAATCAAAGCCTTTTACATGGTCCTACGGCTTCAATTAGAATAATGCATAGGTCTGGGAGTGGACACAGGAATGGTACCTCTGACTCTCACTCCTAATGATCCACCGGGAGACTCTGTGCTTCCCATTCCCACAAACTCTGGTTCTTCATGACTACAGGTCCTAATCCCCAAAAGGGCACAGAAGACAGAACAAGAATTCCAGCTTTGCACGAAGAGTTTATATATTTAAAAATGCTTGATGACATTCATCACATCACTATGGTATTTAAACTCCTTTTTCCAATTTAATAGAGATAATTTCAAAATGTGAATATAACAATTCTTTAAAAAAATTTTTTTTAAATTTGATTTCAGAGAGGAAGGGAGAGGGAGAGAGAGATAGAAACATCAATGACGAGAGAGAGAATTCATTGATCGGCTGCGTCCTTCACACCCCACACTGGGGAATCGAGCCCACAATCTAGGCATGTGCTCTGAGCGGGAATCGAACTGTGACCTCCTGGTTCATAGGTCAACACGAAACTACTGAGCCATGCCAGCCAAGAAATTTAATCTTTTAAAGATAAAAATTTTAGATATCAATACAAAAATGTGTGAAAGTATATACATATCTATGGTTGTAAAAAAAGTGCTTTTAGGAAGCATTTAGGCAAACATTTTAAGAACAGAAAAAGATGCCGTATAGTTTTAGAGATTCAATCTCTAAACTACTGTGCCTTGCTCAACTTCTGTAATTTCTGTCCCTTTTTCACCAACCCTCAAAATTTCAGAGAGTCTCAGGCTAATTTAGGACTAAAAAGGTCAGTTTAGGTCTAACAGGGGAGTGAATCCAGATATCTGTGAGGATTGGTGCCTCGGGCTAGGGTTACTGTTATGTAGTAATGTTGTGCATTTAAAAACCTGGTATTTACTGTTTTGGAAACCTATTTGGAACATGTTTTAGATGGGAAATGTCTTCAAAATCCAAAGAAGAGATTGAGTCCTGGTCACTGTGGCTCAGTTTGTTGGAGTGTCATCTTGTACACCAAAAGGTGGCGAGTTCAGTCCTGCTCAGGGCATTGAACCAGCTTGCTGGTTCAGTCCTTGCTTGGGGCACATGCAGGAGGCAACCATCGATGTTTCTCTCTCTCCCTTCCTATAAAATAATGTATCATCCATTCATGATTTTTTTTTTTAAAAAAGAGTTTTTAAAAAATTCCAAAGAATAGATTGAAAAATAAACTTTTGGCCGAAACCGGTTTGGCTCAGTGGAGAGAGCATCGGCCTGCGGACTGAAAGGTCCCGGGTTCGATTCCGGTCAAGGGCATGTACCTGGGTTGCGGGCACATCTCCAGTGGGGAGTGTGCAGGAGGCAGCTGATCGATGTTCCTCTCTCATCGATGTTTCTAACTCTCTATCCTTCTCCCTTCCTCTCTGTAAAAAATCAATAAAATATATTAAAAAAAAAAAAGAAAAATAAACTTTTGGGCAGATAACTAGAGTTAAAAATATGATTTGTGCCTAATTAAATCTCAAATAGCAGTGTTTTACCTTTGCTATAGATGCCAAAAGATTTGCTATTTTTAATGCTATGTTTCATGTATAGTCATAAAATTAGTTTATCATTAAAGCTCTAAAATGCAATTTAAAATGCAATTTCTCTTGCTGAATTGCTGCCCCTCCCCTTTGGTCACTTTGTATTATTAAAGCTATAAAATCTACAAATACTCGTAGGACGCTTGCACTAAATGAAGTACCTGCAAATAGTGGGCTTTGCCTTACATTATCCTTGTCAAAACTCACGTGAAAGAGGAGGAGCAGTGCCAAATAGAATACTGGTTATTTGTGCAAAATAGAATATCCGATTTAACCCTATAGACAATTCTGTGTGGTATTATTTCCATGGTTTTGCACAGAGATGGAAGTTTAGGGATTTCAATAAATTTTACTGAAAGTCTAGCGGAGCCAGGAAATCTTGTTGACCATGAGCGTCGGGGATTCACATCTCCTACCACTTCAAACATCAATTCTTTTCGAAACAAGGAACATCTAAAGGTGCTTCACTCAGGACACCTCCGAGTTCAGTTACCCTACATCAGTGGCTCTCACTGGGTTTTACAGCTTTATTAAAACACGGGTTGCTGTGTGCCCAGGCCCTTCTTTCTCCCCCTTACCCCCTAAGTCTGATCCTGTAGATGTTGAGTGGGATGGGGGGAATCAGCACTTCTAGCAGGTTCCCCGGCGATGCTGCTGCTGCTAGTCCAGGAACCACACTGTGAGAATCATTTGTTGTTCTAGAGCAGTGGTTCTCAACCTGTGGGTCTCGACCCCTTTGGGGGTCCAACGACCCTTTCACAGGGGTCGCCTAAGACCATCCGAAGACATATATAATTACATATTGTTTTGTGATTAATCACTATGCTTTAATTATGTTCAATTTGTAACAATGAAAATACATCCTGCATATCAGATATTTACATTACGATTCATAACAGTAGCAAAATTAGTTATGAAGTAGCAACGAAAATAATTTTATGGTTGGGGGTCACCACAACATGAGGAACTGTATTAAAGGGTCGCGGCATTAGGAAGGTTGAGAACCACTGTTCTAGAGGCTTTAATCTTAAATCCACTGGAAAAAGTGTTGGTCAGGGCAGAGCGATCATAACTGCTAATGGTTTTCAGAAACCTGGGCTCTGCTTTCCACAGGAACTCCGACCCTGCATCGTGGGCGTGTCCTCAAGTCCTGGCGGTACCCCCGCCTGGAGTTGCGCTTCAGCTCCGCCGTCACCCCTTCACAATCCACCGCCCTTTCCGCCAGCCCTGGCCAGGCCTTGACCACACCCCCACCGCGCCCTGGTCCCGCCCCTTTCGCCCCCGCCAGACCTTAACCACGCCCCCGCCAGGCCCTGGCCCCGCCCCCGCTACCCATTCGCTCCTTCCTCAGGTCCGCCCTGGCCGA